GTGAGGTCGATACCGATGATTACGATTATCCTGTGGAGAATAATGCTATTTGTTACTTCATGAAGAAAAATTTAATCCATCAAGCAATTAACATTAATCAAGCGAAGGTTAATGCAATGATCGACACCGGGTCCGAAATTTCGTTGTTATCGGATCAGGTAACCCGCCAATTGGGACTCAAGTTGAGTAAACTGGGTGGACCTCTTCCTTATGCCGCTAATGGTGAACCACTACCAATAATGGGTAAAACTAAAGCGGAAATTAAAATTAGTGATGGAAAGAAAGTGGTAAAGTTTATCGCAGATTTCCAAGTTTGTAAAACGTTACCACGGAAATTAGATGCTTTGATTGGACAAGATGTACTAAGCAAAGCGATGGTAAAGATAGATTGTGCAAGCAAAACCATTCAGATTGGGGACCACCCACAAGTGGACCTGATTACATCTGATGAAAGTTCTACGGATACCGAACCTGACACGGTGACGTCATCGGATGATGGTGAAACAACACTCACTCCCTCTAGTGATGAGTCAATGAGTTCAATAGCAACTGAGCTCACTCTCACGCCATCTGGTGGTGAATCAATAAACTCATCGTCACCTAAACTGTATCTCACGCCATCTAGTGGGGATTCAGCAGGTGAACAATCAGCTTTATTTAGTACTAGTAATCTGGTGAGTCACGATTCATCGGAGGAAGGTTTAATCCTCGATGTGATGATTAAACACCAGCTAACGTACTAACACAGTTGAAATGCCTGGCTAACGAATATCGTGATGTTTTCGCGGTTAGAGCTGAAGAGCTTGGGAAAACAAACTTATTTGTCCATTCAATCAACACCGGTGACCATCCACCCATCGCTCAGTCGCCTTATCAACAAAGTGAACAGAAAAGAAAAATTACTAAAGAAACAGTTGCTCAACTACTTAGAGATGGTATAATAATCGATTCTTTCTCACCCTGGTGCTCACCTGTGGTACTAGTGAGTAAGAAGACTGGAGATTGGAGGATGTGCGTAGATTATCGGAAGTTGAATGCGATAACATGTAAGGATTCTTATCCATTACCAAACATAAACACATCACTCGATGCTCTTCAAGGATCGAACTACTTTAGCTTATTAGATCTAAGAAGTGGTTACCATCAGGTCGAGTTGAATCCCGCTGACCGTCAAAAAACTGCCTTCGTCACTACTTTCGGAATGTACGAATATGTAACGATGCCGTTCGGCTTATGCAATGCTCCAGCCACCTTCCAACGATTAATGGACGTGTGTTTGGCTGGGCTGAAATATAACTCATGCTTGGTATACATTGATGATATTATCATCTTCAGCAAAACGTACGAAGAACATTTAATCAGATTACAATCAGTTTTCGAAAGGCTAAGAATAGCTGGCTTAACACTTAAACCAGATAAGTGCCGGTTCTTGAGAACCCGAATTCTTTATCTCGGTCATGTAATCTCTAACGAAGGACAAGAACCAGATCCTGAAAAGATTCGAGCTGTGGTAAATTTTCCAACGCCGAATACACTCAAAGACATTCGGGCTTTCGTCGCTTTGTGCTCTTACTATCGAAAGTTTATTCGAGATTTTGCTAAGCTAGCATCACCTTTAACTCAACTGACGAGAAAAGATGTTCCATTTCAATGGAAAAATGATCAAATCGAGGCTTTCGAATGTTTAAAGCGAAAGATAAGCAGCGCTCCCGTTCTTGCTCATTTTGACCATACTCTGGAAACTCAGTTACGAACTGATGCATCTGATGTTGGTCTGGGAGCGATCATCTTGCAGAAACATGAGAAGAAATGGAAACCTGTTGCTTTTGCGAGCAGACAGATTCGTGGTGCTGAATTAAATTATCCGGTGTCTGATAAAGAATGCCTCGCCATAATATATGCGGTGGAGAAGTTTCGGCATTACCTGGAAGGGATCAAATTTGAAGTCGTCACCGATCATTGCGCCCTCTGCTTCTTGCGGTCGAAAACTAAACTTCCACCTCGGCTAATGCGATATGCTTTAACTTTACAATCTTTTGAGTTCAATATCACTTACAAGTCAGGGAAAATTCATGCTGACGCTGATTGTCTCAGTAGATATCCAACCAACGATCCAGAATTCAACACGGTTGGTTATGACGATTGTGAACAAGGTGATGATTTGTTCACTTTATTAATCACTGAAGAAGATCAGAGACAGAGTAGATTACTAAATGAACAAAGGAATGATCCTTTTATCCAGGCGAAAATTCAACAACTCAATGAAGAAAAACCCTCAAAAAGTACTGATCAAACAAAAAGTCAACATCGAATTAAAAATGGACTTCTACAGAGAAAAATTAATCATAAAAATAATCAACAATGGGTCATCGTCCTTCCAAAATCCATGGTACTAGAAATACTTAAAGCTTATCATGACGAACCTCTTTCGGGACATTGTGGTTTATTCCAAACCTATGAGAAGATCAGAGCAAAATACTATTGGCCAAAAATGAACAAGGAAATTGCTGATTATATCCAAAATTGTGAATCCTGCCAGTACAATAAGACTGGAATAGGAAATTCAACTGCTCCACTAAACTCAATCGTTGTTTCGGCGCCGTTTGAGAAAATTGGGATCGATATATTGGGTCCTCTCCCTCGTTCATCGGGTAAAGAATACATCATTGTGGCCACTGAGTACTTCACTAGGTGGGTGGAGATGAAAGCTCTTGCAAAGAAGGACGCAAAGAGTACCGCCAAGTTTCTAATGGAGAATATCTTATGTCGACATGGTTGCCCCAAGTCAATCCTGAGCGATCAGGGACGAAACTTCATAGCGAAACGGTTCAAGAAAACTTCATGAATGCGAGTGGCAACTGTCCACCGCTTACCACCCACAAACGAATGGATTGACCGAGTAAATCGTACGATTTGTTCAATGCTCATGCACTATTGTCAAGAACAAAACCAAACTAAATGGACGCAAATTTTGCCTCTAATTAATTTCCTTATAATTCAAGTGTCACCCTTCTTTCTCTTATATGGGAGAGAGCCAACGCTTCCCGTTGATTTACAAACTAATCCTGATGTAAAGAAGACAACCCTTGGCAATACATGAAATTTATGAATCATGAATGAAATTTGTTAGAGAACAAGCACAAATCCATTCTGCAACCTCATAGAGAAACAAGCTGAATATCATGATAAAAGAGAATAAAATTAGAACTTACGAAGTAGGTCAATTGGTTCTGCATGAAGTCAACCTCAGGAAACCCAAGGAAACTTGGCCCAAAATACGAAGGACCATTTCAAATAATTAAGAAAATGGATAACACCACTTACATAGTGAAACGAGAAAATTCGACGGACGAGTTTAGTTCATGCATCGCAAATAAAACTCTACCACCGACGAGAGAAACAACCACCAAGTGGAGGAGAAACGCCTCAGGAATCGACGAAGAGAGACAAGTAACGTTTCACTCATAATGATGATCATTATTCTATCCTTTAATCTTTCCATCTGTCAAGAATATGGACCAGATATCATCTGGGAAAAGTTGACAGGAAATTTCTAAAAGGGAATGCTTACGTTAATTATACTAAACCAATGTCTGATCAATCAAAAAGTTTAACATATACAACAGCCATCAACCATGTATGGTACACCGATACGTCAGGCACCTATTGGGGTGTAAAGACTAGAAAAGTACCAAAATACAACATGTTTAGAGCCTATACGAGACTTATGTCAAAACTAAAAAAAGAACCTGAAAAGGAGATTTCTTGGAATTAGCAATGGAATATTGTTACAAGTATTAAACTGACAATCTAGATCCATACTTCGTGCCGGAACCATAAACAAGGAGAGCGCAGAAAACCATTAACCACCACTACTGCCATATTGGTTTCATCCGCTCTCATGTGGGGTAAATCAAGTATTCTATTACTTTGGGGATACGTCTGTTGCTCAATCACAGATCGATTTCGATCGATTACAAAATTCAATAGATTAACTTCGACAGCGATAAGACAACATGAAACCGCTTTAGCTGATGAAGCACTAAAATTGAAAACCGACATTATGCAGTTACAACAGATGCTTCCATTGACAGCTTTCAACTCCGCCGACATAGTTTATAATACCCAGAAAATCAAGGAAGCAATCATTCAACTTAAACAGGATAATAAACTCACCAAGGACTTCATTGAACGATTTCGTTTAAAACTTCCTTGCAACACCTCATGTCCTCTGGAGCCTATGACCGAGACCACCACAGAATTCTCTAAAGAAAATGATACCTACGTCCTTAAGTTGAGATTCATAGTCCCGCAAATTGAAGATAATTTGGTAATTCATGAGGCCGACCCTTTCAAACTACTTAAAGAAGTCGGAAACGAAACTTGTACCTTTGAATATACCGGTCCAAAATATTTAATATCCAATACAAAGTCCAAAGAGATTTGTGAGGCAACGGAAGAAGAACTCAAAGCGAAACTAATCATGTTCGTGAGTGGGACATTCTGTAAACAACCAAAGCCACAGACATGGCAATTAACTGTTTTGAGACCTACTTGAACAATTATAAATTGTCTAAGCCGCAAGTTAAAATAATAGATGAAAATCTATATGTCTACTGTTATGGGTACAATCTCAGTTTATTCAACCATGTTCGAGATTGTCCGAATGCTGTGTTGAAATTGTCTAAAGATATGTCCTTCTCAATTGGTGACTACAATTATAGTGCTGAAAATTACATTATCACTAGTTCAAAGGTGATAGATGGATGGTCCAACCAAATCAATTGGCGAATAATGGCTGATCCTGTCAAATTAATAACCCTCAACACAACAACAATCAGGCTTCTAGAAAAATTAACTGACTCACAAACACTTGCTGTGAAACAAGAAAAACTTGGCTTGAAAAACTCAAAGACGAATTAAGCAATTTACTAATTGGTGTTATAGCCTTTTGTGTTGTCATTTTGTTAATTTTCAAATTATTTTCGATGCTGTGTCACATGATTGGACGACCAGTTGTCTCAGTAGCTTTAGTTCCTAATAACAATAATAATAATCCACCTCCATATATACCTAACCCTATGGCAATCAGTACATTATACTAATTCAAGTAAAACTTATTGATTTTATCATTAGGACTTTGCCTTTCTCATTCTCTTTATACATCTAGAATCGCCATAATGAATTACGAAGAGTGAGTACCCGTCCTAAGCACCAGAGATAACATCGAAGAGTTAATACGCTCACAAACGTACGATGATGAGATCCAGATAATCGAACCTGAACCTCAAATACCATCTTATCTTATACCTGAACCCCCTGTAAACCCTTTTAAGTTAACCTCTTACCTATTTTTAGACACCAATGTAATCAGAGATTATGAATGCATCATTTGTCAAAATTTATCAGAAAACCCATGTGTACATAAGGAAGACACTAGTTGTAAAGTTATGTTTTGTAGTTCCTGCCTTTTAGATTACCAGAATCAAAATAACTCTGAGTGTCCCGCAAGATGTGGTCTACCCTTCAATCGCAGCCAACTACGATATACCGGTCCAATCTCATTCAACGCATTTAGAAAGAAAATGGTACAATGTCCGGATCAAAAATGTAATCAAATTATGACTGTACGAAAGTACAAAATTCATGTTCAAAGGAAACACCAAGCCAGTTGGATCTGACCAATGGAATGGTCACCATAACACCGGGGAAATGTTGGCAACAAAATAGTTGCAACCCAAGATCCAAATAAGGATGAGGATGCAGACGAAGATGAAGATGAGGATGCGGATGAAGATGAAGATGAGGATGCGGATGAAGATAGAGATGAGGATGCGGATGAAGATGAAGATGAGGATGAAGATAATGATGATGATGAAAAAAATAGAATTGTAGTAGTTGGAGTGGGGATCTCATCCCAAACACATAAGAAAAATAAAGTATCTTTTAAACAGTAAAAACCCAAAGGTTATTTCAAGGTGAAAACCAACAAGAGGTATTTCTGGACAATGTGATACACCAAAGAAAAAGGTTAAGTGTAATAAACGTCGACCATCATCAATTAATCAACCACCAACAACCGAACCTCAATCATCATCATCCGAACTTTAATCATCATCATCCAAAGCTCAACAATCATCACTTGATTTTCAACCAGATTGGTTAAATGGAGCAAATACATTCGAGGATTTTAAAACATTGTTTAAGATAGTCAAAGTGCTATTTACCAAGAAAAACTATTGAAATTGTGTTTTTCCTTGTATCAAAGATTGATGAGCAATGATATTTCGCTTGATGAGTGTAAGAGGCGTGAAAACATCTATAGCATCTCAGTTTCCATAGATACGGAAGGAGAAAGAAGAGAAAGAGAAATAACTTTTCATATAGAATAAAATTTGGAAATGGCGAAAACTATATAAAGTTTGCAGAAGTGGATGAAAAGGTCGAATCCCACCTCAAGCGTTTGCACAGGAGTTACTTCTGCAATTAGAACGGGAAACCATGCAATGAAGTGGAGCAAAAGGCAAATCAAATTCAGTTCGGGACCACACCCGAAAACACGTTGGACTGAGATTTTATTGCGTCTATTGCTCCTGTTATAAGAGAGTTTACTCTTTTCAGGGATTAACCTGACATTTTCGAATTTTCGTTTTCATTGGAACATAAAAGGGGAAAAAAGTGATTTTGAATCTTTTTAAAATAAATTTTAAATACTAAATTCTAAAAATTCCATTTATTCCAAAGACTAGTTTTTTCTATTTTGCCAAAGCTTAGGTAAAATGCTGCCATCTAGCGATCTTGAAATTATTAGTGCAGGTGTAACAGCTTCATATCATAACTCACTGATATCAAAATTAAAATAACAATGGGTGAGTCAAAATTTGTGTCCTTTTGTTCTCATTCAAAATAACTCCTAATTTGTCTTTTGAAAATTCTTTGTTTGTTTCAGACAAATCTGTTACATCGACTGAGCAAAATTTGAAAAGATCTCATTGCAACAGTAAGAAAGTAGTAACAGTAAGAAAATTCATTGCAATAATTTTAAATTTAGGCTGCTCTTTCATCCACTCAATTCTTGGACTATTTTCTTGATAACGCATCTCGTCCCTCTAATTATGAAGACACTTTGTCTGATTTAAGAATTGATGAGGCTCAGATGATTACTCATGAAAATCATCCCAAGGAGAAAAAAACTCTTGATAATGAGTCACAAAAATTGTTTCCCAAACTATTTGCCATGTTAACCAAAGGTTATAATGTTGTGCTTTATGGTCTAGGATCCAAACGATGACTTTTGGAACATTTTAGAATGGAAATGTTGGAAAAATTTACTACAATTGTTTTCTATGGTTACAAAGATGCCGGACATCGACGAATTCTAACGGCCTTTCAGGAAGCCACTATAAAATAAAGGTTGACATGTTAAAACTAACCCAACGAGGAATCAATGGGGTAATAAGTGTGAAAGGTGGTTTATTGATAAGGGTACAGAGTATGACCTAAGGGTAAAGTTAAATTCAACTGTCGTGAGAAGTAACCCAACTTCACTTAGATTTATAAAGAAATGGTGTCTGGGCGTTAAACGCTTGATTGGCTTAACATTTCCGGTCTCTGGGTTAAAACGCACTTGCATTTTATCGGTAAGGTCACTTAAAGTTCGACACATTGTCATTTAGATTGTTACTCTTTTTTTGTATTTTTCATTTCCGTTTGGAATTTTTTTGTTCTTTTTGTTTTTCTTCTCTCATCGAAATGACCAATGGGCTGATTGCTACAGCACAAAAGGATGCTGAACTTTTTAGTTTATCCCTATCAGCTTAGGGCTTCTTTGATGGTGAGTTCCTTTATATATATTTTTTGTATTTTTGATGAAGATTATGGTGTTGAAGATTTGTGTTTCATTTCACTTGGTGGTGGTAAACTATCAACAACGATAGTATTGGTATCCTCCGAGGACATTTTCTTACATGTATTATACAGGGCTATTCAGCTATTTTTACCGATGTTTTTTGTGATTTTCTCAGCAACTAAGAGTCAGAGAGACACAAGACTTGAGTGGTATGAGTTTGAGCGATACTCAATTGTCATATCAAAAGATCAAGGTCATTAAGGTCATCAGTGAAATAACGCGTTTCAAGGTCATCTGAAAGTAATTCAACAAAAAAGAATATTCAGTTATACTGCTGACAAGTTTTGAGGTTTCTATGAGCTTTGCTTTGCACGTTAAGATAAATTAATTGAATAGAAGATTTTCAACAGTTATTCAAATAAACTGTAATATCTCAGATCTGTAACAACAACGATCTTTAAACTCATTATCCGGCGTTAAAATGTGAGTATAACTGAGGTTCCTTCAGATGACCTTGAAACGCGTTATTTCACCGATGACCTTAAGCCTTGATCTTTTGATATGACAATTGAGTATCGCTCAAACTCATACACACAGTCCCGTGTCTCTTTGATTCTTAGTTGATGAGAAAATCGCAAAAAACATCGGTAAAAATAGCTGAATAGCCCTGTAGATGCTGGTATGAGTGTTGGGGCAACAGTATCAAGAAAACCTTGTTGCTTGATCACAAGAGAATAATCTTTGGTGGTGGAAATGTTGTTGATGATGGTCGAGGTCGATTGGCAATTGATGGATTAATACGTTGACCTAATCCACTGGCTTCAATTAAAGTTTCGTCATACTATTTAATTCTTTGTTTAACAGCTAGTATACAAAGTAATTTACAAAACGTGTATAGTAGGTAACATAAATTCAAATCGACATAGATTTTAGCCGAATGAAATGCATCACTCTCCTTAAAGTGAACTAGAGCAACCCCCTAAATAGATCCTCCCAGTCTATTGCAATAGATTATCATTACCATCATGATCATTATCATCATCGTTATCATTAATAGAAAATATAACATTAGTCAAAGAGGAAAAAATTTCCGAGATAAAATAGCAGTAAACCTTCAATCTCACTTCCGGATGCCCTGTTTCCCTTTACTTCTGATTGACTTGTAACTTCCGTTCAATGGTTGATACCTCAACTTAACCCTAACTTTAGACTTTGTATCATGCACAGATAACTAACCATGATAACATGAGGATAATAATCGTTTCCATGATCAAAACTGAATACAGATTATTATTAACATTAATATTTTGGTATTTTGTATTGGAAAATCATATTCATGCAATTCACTATCTCAATCTTAGCAGTTCCGGTCATTAAATAACTCATTAACTCTCAATTGTTTCTATTTCCGTTTTAACCAAAATTCTTATAATGAATCAAACCATCATGAAGATCAATAAACTTTAATAAATTTGATCACTTGACGAGGTGAATGATAAGTATAATTTTTAATACAAAAAGTAGCATTTAGAATTTTCTATTGACTCGGTAATGAAATTAATTAATTTAGATTGAATGAAGTCACAATTTACAGGAAAAGTCGAGATTATTCATCTGAAAAATTGTTCATTTTTCGAAAGAATATTCTTTTCTTTTAAAAATTCTGCTCATTTCTACAGGAAATAATTATTCAGTTTAGAGATTGAACTTTAATCATTTCATGTAGTTTATAAATTTGTTGATCCTGGTCAGTGGTGATAATTGTTGAAATAAATTCGCAAATTAACTTATATTAAAATAATAAATAATTTTACTACAGTTTGAAAATATTGATATTATAAAGAGCCAAAAACAATCAGAATCATAATCAGAATTTACAACTGAAAACAACAAAGATAAATTGATTTGAAACTGTCAAACTAAACTCTATTCAAGTAAATAGTTGAAATTTCATTTTCTTCATATAAAATGCATTTAGTTAATCATGATGCTAAATGGTGATATTATGATCTTTGTAATGATATTTTTTCCCATTGTTCTGGAATCGAAATGGAAATACATGAAGTTTGTATAAAGAAAGAGAGAGACATAAAGATCTGTGTTTAATATTTTGAACACCAAGTAAATGTTATCAGAGTATTTATACTCTGAGAATGTGAACTTTTGTTTCCTTTGAATTAGATACTTTTTTTTGATCATTATGATGATTCTTGATTCTGTCGATACTCAATTTTTCAAGCTTTCCTCTTTCTCTCGGTACAATGATTTTGCTCAATCATTTAAGAGGAGAAAGAGAGAGAGAAAGAGGAAGATTCAAAGTTTTATATCTTGCACTGAATAGTAAATGAATCCAAATGAATCAATGGCTGACCATTGTCTTGCTGTTTCGTGTCCCAAAGATAAATTTGTATGACACCTATTAATTGTTGTGGGACGTGCTTGGTTGACAATTCAATTCGATTCAATTCGTTTCAATGGTCTCACAGAGGGAAAATTTATCTTTCACTTTCTCTCAATCTCTCTTTCCTCCTACTCTATCATCATCATCATCTTCCCATTTTTATACCTCCTCTTTTTTCTTGAATGGTTCACTGAGATTGCTATCGTCAACCTTTCTTCCTTTTTTCATCATCATCATCATCATAAGTCTATCTCTTTCTTTTTCATCATCTTCCCCTGTCATCTTTTTTTCCTCTCGACCGGTAAAGCATTTTGCAATCTGCTTAAGCTCATCTATTTTAAGACTCATCATCATCATCTTCATCCTCATATACTCAGTCTCTGAATTTTATTCTTGCTCTCATCAACTTATCTTTTTTCACCTTTTCTCTC